TGAGGAGGATGATATCCAGAGAGCTCAATGTAAAATTCAGAGCATATATGTTTGAATAAAAAACAGACCACGTTAAGATTCCATGTAATAAGCTATTTCACCATAACCCCTTTAACTGGGTTCTGGATCATCAGACTTTACTTCCAAAAGCTAAAATGAAAAATGAAAAGAAATTCACACGTTTTTGACGGACCTCATCAAGTATACGTAAAATTAACGAAGTGAGGAAGTGAGGTGGGAGAGAGGATATGAGTGTGTCATATGTATCATTTAATTTCCTATTTTTAACCCCAGTGTGTCGGCTAGATGTTGCTCAAATTTATATTGGTAGTAATCCGTTGATATAATTCAGGCAAGTCCTATTAACACAAGAGCGCTTAATGTTTATTTTCATTAAACGGAGCAAATTTTCTTTATACTTTATCAAAATTCGTAGGTGAAAATGATCATTAACTAAAGGTATCTTAATTCCGATTGTATATATATATATATATATATATATTCATTTTGACTTGTGACTTCATCATAGCTACCAAATATTTCAGTCTACGCCATTCAAATCACAGACCTTGGGCCAACCAATGGTACGGATTACTGGCAAATATGACGAATGCTGGGCTCCTCTCCGAATGCCGACATCATCAACAGGTCATCTTTTGGACAAATCGATCGTGGGCCCGCTCTATAGAGATGGCATATAACACAGAGATGCCTGATCAAGCGTCTGCTAAATGGATTGGCTAGCCGCCATACCAGACAAGCATACTTGGATACCCATATATATATATATATATATATATATATATATATATATATATATATATATATGTCGTTATGGGTTTCAATATTTGCCCATAGCTTGGATCTTACCAGTTGCTCCGACCAGGGAACAGCAGCAATGAAAATGTAGTTCCGACATCCTCAAAATAGACAATGACCCGATCAGATTCAGCATACAAAAAATTCACATAGGATTCGATCAAAAAGACAGACCGACGCTGTCGTATCCACGTACGTCGAAATCGAAAGAGAGAGTCTATATATATATATATATATATATATATATATATATATATATATATATATATATATATATATGAATTGAAAATACAATTGTAATTTTTCAAAGGTCTATGATTTTCTAATTTAAAATATAATATTGATAGTAGCTATGCCACGATATCTCTCGTGTGAGATGTATAAAAATATACATTAATTTCTATACATATATGAAAAAGTATATATATATATATATATATATATATATATATATATATATATATATATATATATATATATGAGTTTAAATTAATTTCAGTTGATTGTATTTAATTATATACCCCCCACCAACAAGTACAGTCAATTAATTCTTTTTCATAATGTCTATAGGAAAGACAAATTCAAAAAAATTAATAACAGAGACCGGGTCAGAGATATTTAAGAAGGTGACAGAAAGATGAAATATTTTAAGAAACTGTACACTAATTTATTGAAATACTAGATATATATTATTTTCTCCCATGTATATATATTATTTTCCCATATATATATATATATATATATATATATATATATATATATATATATATATATATATATATATATGTGTGCATGAATATGGAGGATGATGTTGAGACGTATAACGACTTTAAAAATTTTATCTATCTATCTATCTATCTATCTATCTATCTATATATATATATATATATATATATATATATATAAAAGAATATAATTTGTAGGTCTGATGAATTGGATCGGACTTACGATTCCAATGGAATAAATTATGACCATGGAATATTAGTGTTTAAGCCTTTTTATTATATCCTTACTCTGTCCTGGACATTGAGTTCTACCTGGATTCTATCCTCTTGGAAATATTTTTATACAAAATATATATGTATGTGTATGTATATATATTAATATATTTTGCATATGTATGTGTATATTTTCCACTAATATTATCAATATCTATCTATCTATCTATCTATCTATCTATCTATCTATCTATCTATCTATTTATTTATATATATATATATATATATATATATATATATATATATATATATATACATATATATATATGCATATATATATATATATATAGGCATATACTGATAGATAGTTTGATAGATAGATATATAGACAGATAGATTGATAGATAGATAGACAGATATAATATATAGTCATATATATAGTTATTTACAAATAATACTTAAAAAACTCTACAAACCTATCTATCTATCTATCTAGCTATCTATCTCTCTCTATATATATATATACATATATATATATATATATATATATATATATATATATATATATATATATAATGTATATATCTACATTTATATAGACATGCATATATAGTTGTTTTCAGGAAATTTTTGCATAAAACCCTCTACGAATTCTCTCTCTCCTTATATATATATATATATATATATATATATATATATATATATATATATATATATATATATATATTGACATGCACGCATAGTTATTTACAAGAAAATTTGCATAAAATCTCTACGAGTTGTCTGTCTATCTCTCTCCCTCTCTCTCAATCTCTCTTTCTCTCTCTCTCTCTCTCTCTCTCTCTCTCTATATATATATATATATATATATATATATATATATATATATATATATATGAATAGGGACATGTATATATAGGTATTTACAAGCAAATTTGCATAAAAAAAATTACTAACATTTAGTAAATCCCATAGATAGATAGATAGATAGAAACTGAATGGCATAGATAGATAGATAGATAGATAGATAGATAGATAGATAGATAGATAGATAGATAGATAGATAGATAGATAATATCTCCTTCACCTGCGCCCCACAAATAATAATAATGTGGATTACTGGCTGGCCATAACTTTGTTCACCTGCTTTTGTGGTATATTGCAGAGACTTGTTGCAAGATTCAGGTTTTTCCAACAGCCAACAGGGTAAATCTACCCCCTGAAGGCACTTGTTATTCGTCTCCGTCTTGTGTCTGAGACCCTCAGCGACAAATTCGCGAGATCTTTTCTCATCAGAACGCTCAAAATGAGATTTCCATGCTGTCTTACCTCAGTAATTTCCACGAGACTCCTCAAACTCTTTCCGAATCCTCTGCGCTGTCATCACTTTGACACTCTGAAATGGTCGCATTGGAGATTCCGGGTCTAATAGCAAGCAGATCAGCATGCCCTTTTCAAATTTATAGCATTAAGAATTGTGTCATAGCGCACTTTTCATCACAGGCGATGCCCAACTGACCCTACTTTAATGTGCAATCGAGAAAATGAAAATAAAATGCGCATGCGCAAAAGTGAAAATATAAATTCGAGATAATCGTCACTTCGTATTATTATTTATATATAGCTGTTTATATTAAGTAAATATTCAATTTTGTTTATATATATATATATAAGAATATATAATTATATAAAAATTATAAACATATAAATGAAAAGAAAAAGTACAGACATATATAGAGGTAAATATAAGCAGACATAGATAAATAAAATTAAACACCACTAGACAGACAGACAGATAGACGAATAGATAGATAGATAGATAGATAGATAGATAGATAGATAGATAGATAGATAGATGCTGGGGCTGTATTCAAAGATATAAAGGAAATTGCATAGATATATAGATCAATGGATAGATAGAGACTCAGGACATTACAAACAGCAATAGATAGACATGAAAAACAGACATAGATAGATAGATAGATAGATAGATAGATAGATAGATAGATAGATAGATATGAATATTCTGAGACAGATATGAACAGATATATATATTTATATGATACATTAGATATTAGCCATATTATAAACGGATATATATATATAAGGAGGCACGGTGAAGTAATGGATAGCGGTTTGAGGAATCGAAGAGCCGAGTTCGAGTTCCACTCGAATCCATTATATTCACTTACGTGCTAATACCCTTGGGAAAGGTGTGAATCCTTCTTCTCCCTCCAGCTATGGGTAAATAGCAGGTCAAACTGGGTTCTATAGCTGTGGATGGCAACAGGTCTAGGAGAAGGACAATTCAAAACCTGAGGAGGGTTGTTTGGGGACATTGTGGCACGTAGTGCACCAGGTCTCTGTATTTGGCCCTTCAAAAAGTGTGGATGTCCCTGCACGAAACCTTTACCACTATAATCAATTCTCATGTGCTGTTGTCGGGCTGTCGGTTTCCTGGGAACTGATCTGCTTGACCCTCATATGTCGAAATCGACGGGAGAGTCGAATATATGTGACACAAATATTGAAATGTCCAAACGTATATAATTATAAACAGATACATAAATAATTATGAGCAAATATAGATAGATAGATAGATAGATAGATAGATAGATAGATAGATAGATAGATAGATATAGACTCAGAACATTACACACAATGGATTGAGATGAAAAGACAGACATAGATAGATCTATAGATAGATTGTTGAACAGACAAACATAAATATAAACTCAGAAAGATGTATATAAAAAAATTATATAGCTATAAACGTGATTATATATGTATAGATAGATAAATAGATATATAGAAAGACTGACAGATAGATATGAACAGACATTGACAATTATAATACATACACACACACACACATATATATATATATATATTTATATATATATATATATATATATATATATATATATATCGATAGGCGGATAGATAGATAGATTGATATCTAAACAGCCATGCATAAATATAATAGTAGATATATAGATTACATAGATATAAATATGGTATATATATATATATATATATATATATATATATATATATATATATATGGAGAGATAGTAATGTTTTTACATACATATATTTCTATAGATTGATAGATATGAATGAAGAATGCTAAATAAATATGAATGAACATAGATATGAAAATAGATATGAATGAACATTGTTAGATAGATAGATAGATAGATAGATAGATAGATAGATAGATAGATAAGTATTAATGAACATGGAGAGATATGTAGTTATGGATGAACGTATTTAGATCGGTAGCGTTTCTCTTTTAATGATCATTATCTTTCATTATACATGAAACATTTCAGATCAAATTTCAGCTTATTAACTGTGTCAATCTAAAATTGCACGCATTCATTATAGGTCTTGATCTTGTCATTTTTTTTTGTGACTTTCGCCTCCGTACATGAGTTGTGTGTAGGTCTGTCGGGTATTATCCTTGACCCCACCAACTGCTCGGAGAAGAACCCTTATTGTTGTCCCCTGACAGTACTTTGTGGCCAACGCTATCTTATCAACTGTCACCCCTTTTTTTAACCTACATTTATATACCTTACTGACCAAAATTACAAACTCTGATAATTAAGTGATGAAATCTTTTGACGTCTATTGATATCATTCTGGGTACTTTTTTTTTTTTTTGTACATATCCCTGTATTTGTTTTGCTTACGCTTAGCCTCGAAAAACACTATGTAATATTCACTAAGTTTTATCAATAATATAGAATGTGTTAAAATTATTAAATTTGAATAAGGAATTTATCTTGTTGGCGTTAAATTTTTGCCTCAAATTAATGATGTTTTTTTTTTTTGAAGATAGAATCATCTGTTATGACATCTCCCCAATATTTTTAAATACATTGTATTAGGTTGGTGCAAAAAAAATGACGTAATGATGTCTTTTTTTGACGTTAAAAAATACGTCCAAAAACGACATTATTACGTCATTATTTTTGCACTAACCTAATATCTATTTTCAGATATTCTAGTTGTATTTTTCATGTATTATTACATATTGAATAAGATCCATTTTTGTGGGACATGAGACACTTGCACCGGCCCTGGTTGTGATAACTCTGTTCAACTATCCCCAGGTCCTATAAGTTTCATTCTTCTCTTTCTATTTATTCTGTTTTTCAGTGTGGCCACGAGCCGATATCACCTCTTTAACGCAAGTGAATATTTTCGGCGAAATGCTTGCTAAAAAGACAAAATTTCGTGTGGATGCACGCAGACTCGTATGGATGCACGCACACACGCACACCGAGTCTTATACAAATTCTGCAGTTGAAGTCTAATCGATTTTCACCCCCCACCCAACCTATCTACCTAATTTTGTTTATTTCACTTATATTGGGTAGATAAAGATGCTTACATTGGTTGAGTGTAGATATCATTGTATTTGATTTTTTTTTTTTTTCCTTTTTTTGCGAGAATTATTTCACCGGGCCGCACGCGACGCACGTTTAACGAGACACAGTGGCGCGCGAAATCGTCCAAGATTTTTCCACCAATGAGACGAAAGCTGGCTGGAGAAGTGGGTTGGTTTCATCCAAGTCATTGCCTCTCGGTGTTTACTGTTTCGTATTCTTAGCAACGAAAGCGTCGTTTGGAAAATGAAGTCATCATTGGATTATTTACGATACACCAATAAGTCTGGCACAAGACAAGTCTAAGACGGGCTCGACGAGTAGAGGTAAAAGTATTGTGTTTTGAATGTAATTGTCAAAACTAAGTAAGGCCAAATACAGGTGAGATGATTGAAAAATCAATATCCTTTTCGGTGGAAAGTATTGATTAACCCAGTAGTTTCCAAACGCTGGGGTCCCCCTCATAGGTGAGGCGGAAGTGGATAGCAGATGAAGCGGAAGTGCATAGCAGGTGAGGCCGATGTGAATAACAGGTGAGGCCAAAGTGGATAGCAGGTGAGGCGGAAGTGGATAGCAGGTGAGGCGGAAGAGGATAGCAGGTGTGGCGAAATGATTAAACGTCAATCAAAGATTTAGAAACAGACTGTAAAATATCATATGACAAAAATAAATATGATTTCGATATTTAAAAATTATTACGGATTACTTGTAATTGCATGCATGAATTCCTGTATAAATAGTTAAAAATAATTGTTGACCGATTTTATCATTGTGACATTTTTTGCAGTCTTAAGAATATAGTAACTAGGGCCCGCAAATTGGAGGAAAGAGTTATCAATGGCTTCAATCAGCGGTTACCTCCCCTTAATCTTCTCTCTCTGGACCTTCTTCGCCGTAGCGCCGCTTGTTCCTTCTCATCGGGACTCCGCTTTGGTGAGGCCCGAGCAATTTTTCATTCTGGAAATGCGGCCCAGAGTGAAAAAGTTTGGGAACCACTGGGTTAGAGTGAAGGTGGGAGGTGGGAATTAGAAAGAAGAAGAAGAAAAAGAAGCGGAAGAAGAAAAAGAAGCGGAAGAAGAAGAAGAAGAAGAAGAAGAAGAAGAAGAAGATGACGTAGAGATAAAAGAACCTCTAAGAAGACATAAAGAAGAAAATAGAAAGTGAATAAAAGAAGAAGCAGAAGAAGAAAATAATAATAATAAGAAGAAGTGAGAAGAAAAAGGAGATGTAGAGGGAGAAGATGAAGGTGGCCAAGAAGAAGGCGGTGAAGAAGGACAATAATAATAATAATAATAATAATAATAATAAGAAGAAGAAGAAGAAGAAGAAGAAGAAGAAGAAAAGGAGACGTAGAAGGAGAAGACGAAGGGAGCCAAGAAGAAGACAGCGAAGAAGGACAACAATAATAATAATAACAATAAAAAGATGAAGAAGAAGAAGAAGAAACAGAACAAGAAGAACAAGGAGAAGAACAAAAAGAAGAGGTAGAAGAAGAAGAAGAAGAAGAAGCCTAGAAGGAGAAGACGAAGGTAGACAGAAAGATGACGGCGAAGAGGGACAATAATAATAATAATAATAATAATAATAATAAGAAGAAGAAGAAGAAGAAGAAGAAGAATGAGATGTAGAAGGAGAAGACGAAGGTAGCCAAGAAGAAGACGGCGACAAGGACAACAATAATAATAATAATAGTAATAATTAGGTACTTGAATTATACTTAAAATCAGGAAGAGTCAGTTGATGTTTCTGGGACATTTAAAGAGGAAGGTGGGTTTGGAAAATCTGATACTCACGGGACAGATTGAAGGAAAGAAGGAGAGTGGAAAACAGCGAGAAAACTACTTGTTGAACATGGCTAAATGAATGGCGGAACCGAGTCTAGCAGAAGTAACAGAAAGACGCATTTTTTTTTGTAGCTACAATGAAACAGGACATTGTGGAGAACCATGCTCGTCTATGTCTTGAGGAGACACGGCACATATAGAAGAAAAAATGTTTTTAAAGACGTGATTCATAATGATTTAGCTGAACCAAGTCTGGTTTATTTCAACAAAAATTATCTTACTTTTTGCAATTAATGGGTTTTTTTTTTTTTTAAATTTAGAACTAGCAGCCATACCAAGCTGGTCGATCAGAAAAAGCGTTCAATTCGAATGGAGCAAAAACAGCATCATGTTTAGATGTAACAGAGTTTATCTCCTTCAATTACTTTAAAATACTTTCATTTTGAATTAATGTATTTCCTGATATAACAGAAAAAGTCTGTATTTATTCAATCGAAGTTAGCCGAGGACATGAAGGGGTAAAACAGGCAACATGAAGATCCACTTCAGATCGCAATTATTTTGGAGCTTTTGAAAGTCAATTAGTCAGTATGCTAAAAGGAATTTAAAAGACGATACACTTATAATACAATTGCTAAGTTTGATGAAAATTGGTTGAAAGATCAACAAAAATATGAAAGAAACCAGTAAAGATCGCCATTTTTCGCATTTACACGGGTTTTCACTATATAGGTGAACTGAATTATCAATTTAGATGGCTAGTAAACAATCAACTTATTATTGGTTACAATTGAGCGAAGTTTGTATTAGATTGCTTGAAAATTGAGGGAGTTTTTAGTTCAAAATGTATATTGAAATCGATTTGTGTTGAAAAATCGATTATTCGTTTCTCGCGGTTTTTCGCTAAAAACAGTGTCGTAGAAATAAAAAAATGAGGTATCCTTGAGTTCGTCATGATGTAAATAATCTAAATACCGAGTCTGAACGAAATCGGAGGAAAAATGTTGAATTGATCGATTTTTGATCGGATTTATCATTATTGATTTTTTTAAATTATCGATTTTTTAACGCTAAGCACCTCTCTCTTACAATGTACAATGTATGTGCTAAGATTGGTCAAAATCGATTGGATGGATCTCGTATGAAAATATATCACACAGATAGACAGACACACAGACATTCTCTGTTCTTTATAAATAGATAATTTTCTACCTTTAATTCGAACTGTTTCAACTTGTAAATCTCAGTTTTCAAGTCACATTTTTTTTTGGCGCGTCATGGTGGTTTGATAGACAATTTTTTTTTGTTTTGGTTTTGGGAAATTTATTTGTAGTGAGTTTAATCCTTGCTATTTGTCTCGTCATTGTGACTTCCAGAAAGAATGCCTCGCTCTTGTAATTTCCGGTCTAAACAAGTCTACAATTAGTAACGTTTGATTTTCCTTCGAACGGATTACAAAATGAAAAAAAAATATCTGATTTAAGTACTGTATTTGGCCGCATATAAGGCGCATATTTTTTTATTAAAAATATCTTTCAAAATTCCTCTGCGTCTTATATGCCATATGTAAGTTTACTAATTTTTCTAATTTTACTATTTTTTTCTTGATTTCCCTGCTGAAATTGGCTTGCATCATATACATCCGTGCGTCTTATATGCCGTCAAATACGTAATTATTCTCCCTATTTTTCTTCCTGTTTGAAGGTTTCATAAACATTTATTGGATAGAAATGTGACAAAGTGGGCAAGCATTTAGAATGACTACGCGTTTCGACTTCCTGTCATAGGTAGGCGTCTACAGTTCAGACAAAACTCTGTGTATGTCTTGTTTTTTTTTTCTTAAAGCCGTTAAGGTCTGTCTTTAGTTGTTTTATATGTAGATATGCCTTCAAAAACCTAAGCTCTATATCAAGAAACGGGGAAATATCGTTAGAAACAAAGAAACGACGAATGAACGGTTACGCAATATCGATCATCCTATATTGCAAAGATGAATAAGAGATTTGAAAGAACAGAAATATGGCTCTACAGTAGGATGCTGAGGCGAAGTTTTTAAAATCGA